CCCCTTCCCTCCCCTCCCCTTCTTTTCTCTTCTCTTTCCTCCCCTCTCCTCTCCTCCCCTCCCCTCCCCTCTCCTCCCCTCCCCTCCCCTCCCCTCTTCTCTTCTCTTCTCTTCTCTTCTCTTCTCTTCTCTTCTCTTCTCTTCTCTTCTCTTCTCTTCTCTCTCTCTCTCTCTCTCTCTCTCTCTCTCTCTCTCTCTCTCTCTCTCTCTCTCCCTCCCTCTCTCTCTCTCTCTTCCTCTAAAAATCCTTGGGTGAAGATTAAAAAAAAAAAAAAAAAAAAAAAGCTTTTCAGAAGAGTTTATTCATCCTCTGAAACTTCTTAATATCAGCAAACTCTTACATCTTCAACTTTTTTAAACACTCTCCCAACTCCTGTGTTAACTAAAACCAGCAATCCTATAAGAATGGTGCAGAAAGGGGTGGCTTCTGATCCCCTCACAAGCCATGTACATAGATTTGGGATCCTCTGCACTCACTGATGCTGTTTCTTTACTCCCAATAGATCCCTGCTCCTTGATATTCAGATGTCCACTCTTCCCTTTCTCTATGCTGATAACTCCAACCCTTCTGAAACTTACTTATTACTCACGTTAGACTTTGTCAACTACCTCATAGTTGTCTTCTCCATGTTCAGCTGAGATCTCATGGCCCATTATTTCATCCTTACGCCTTTGTTTTTCCATCCCATCCTCCCAGTGAAATCTCGACTTTTGATGAACTGAACCATCAGCATTCTCCATGCTTGCATCCAACCGTCTAAGCTGTGTTGGAGAAACTACTACCAATAGAAATTCTTGGTTTATAACTCTTCAGTGGGTCCTTAACACTTTCTTAATTGCCTACATATCTTACTACATTCCTCTGGTCTCCACTTTCCCTTTCCCATTATATACAGTGTTTCAAACTATCTTGACTCCTAAAATTTCAATACCACTCATACACACAGAGACACACACCCAACTCAGTGTAACCAGATATCCAACTTCATCGAGAAAATAGGAACTATCAGACTGCAGTTCTGTCTTACCAAATCTACACACCTACAGATCAAGTTGCTATGACACAAGAGAAGAAAATTATGTGGCCTTAAAATTGTAGTTTCTTTTTCATATGGAAAAACAAGGGGTGGTAAAATGTCTAGAGAATACTGGAGACCCAGGCTCCTTCCATCTTTTCACTCTGCCACCCTTAATGTGTTACCCTCACTGCATGACTAAAGAAAAGTGGCTTAATGCCACATCCTCATTCAACCTGACGAAAAGGACAATTAGGAAGAAAAAGTCTACTACTCCTCTCCTTTAAAAACTTGATCTAGGAGCTGAATGTAGTACTTCCATACACAGCCACTATTCAGGACATAGCCATAAAGCCACACTTAGCTGCCAAAAAATCTAGAAAATATACTTATTATCTGGTTGTCCGTGACTTATTTTCATCTATAATTATTCTCTTCTACTAACTTCCTTTTACAACTGAATCTCTACTCCAGTCAAAATCTAGAACCCTCCATATGTGCCCTGGATTCCATACCTCCCTGCCTTCTCAGGAAATTTGCATTAGTAATTAACTTCTCTTACAACCTCACTACAATGGTGCTTTTTCCAAGGTTGTAATTAAGAGTGCTTTTCTCTCTTCATTGTCTTGGCCCAGAAACAGCATTCGAAACAGTTCAGCATTTTCTCCTCTCCCTTTTATAATGCCTTGCTCCCCTCGTTTTCCTCCCACCCCTCTGTCTGCTCCTCTTAGTCTCTTTTGCAGGCTGGTCTTTCTCTATCCAGCAGTTAAATAATGGCTTTTCCTGACTTCTGATCTGGTTCCTGGTTTCTTCAACACACTCCCATTAATTCTATGGTTTGCATTACTTCCTATGTAACCTGTGTATTCAGCTTCCTACTGGAATTCCTACTTCAGTGTCAAATAGACACCTGAAATTTAGCATGTCCATAATGGGACAGACTTGCTAGTGGGAGTTGCTGTTTTCTCTATGAAATAGGAGGCTACCTTACTTATTGTAAGAGAAGGATTCATGTGATTTGGCTAGGACTAGTTGGATAATCTCTGTATCTTGAGGTCAACTGACTAATAACATTAATGACACCTACAAAATTCATTTTGCCATATAATATAATCATGGGACTAGTATCTTATCATATTCATAGGTTCCATCCACACTCAAGGGAAGGAGAGTATACAAGAGTGAGAGTCATTGAGGGCCATGCTTATAATTCTGCCTACCACAGAAGGGAAGCCAGGAAAACACCCCTAAGAAATGCTGAGAGCTTGAGCTAAGATCGGGAGGATGAGTGCGAGTTAATCAGATAAGGAAGGAAAGCTTGTACAAAAAAACAATGTACCTGGAGTACCATATATATTTTTTAAAATGGACTAAAGAAAGGCCATTGTGTCTACAGTAGGCAGAACAAGAAGCACAGTGGCTTGGAATTAACTTCTTCTTACAACCTCAACTGTTAGCTTCTTCAGGTGGTTTGGGAAGTGGTTTGGGAAGTCAGTAGGCGCCAAGGCATGCAGGCTTCACAGATTCTGTTAAGAGATTTTTCTCTACCCCAAAAGTAGTGATCAGAAGAGTGGCATGATCAGATCTGCATTCTGAACATATTCCTCTGGCTATAAGGTGGAGGATGGATGAAAAGGGCTTCAGTAAAATGTGGTGGATTCCTTAGGGAGCTAGGAGAGTAGAGCGAGGGACAGAGGGGTGATGTCAATGGGGATACAAGCAGACTGATACCAGAAACACTCAGTAGCTAAAACCAACAAGGCTTCATGAATGATTAAATATGGGAGCGAGGCAGTTATTCTCCCAGGAAGTGTTCTCTAAGACAGAGATTACTGTGGAGGATGTTTGTGCTCTCAGAGGCAATACCTGTGCAAGAGAGAGGATGAAAGAAGGATTGGGCAAGATGAGCAGTAATTTGGTCCCAACGAAGGCCTCAGCCAACCCCCGAAAAAGCTGCAAATGTGTTTCAGAGTTGTCCTCTGTTGGAGTGAAGGGCTGAAGTGTTTTTGCTTCTCTATTCATCAGTCATTGGTGTAAGATGTCCCTGAAAGGGAGCATGACCTTCCATGAATAGGCTTTCTTCAACTAAGGCAATTCCTGAAGAAGCTAACAATTGAGGGCTGTCTTCCAACAGCCCTCTCAGCAGCTGGGGGAAAAAAATCCTTCATTTCTGGAGAGTTCTCTGGGCTTTTCATCACAGCCTCTACCACAGGGATGAAGCGTAAAGGAGTAAGGCATCAGAATGATCCCTAATTTCTCATTTGTGCATCCTGGTGGATACTGTAGGTTGTAATCTTGGTTGTAATCATTAGCTCACCTGTCATTCTTCCCCATTTCCTCTCTGCCCTGCTAGGGTGCAACCTACTAGGGCACAGACTGGCACGTATGTAGCTGAATAAGTGAATGTTGGTCTGCTTCTCCTATTTCCATTCCTCTCTCGCCTACATTTCTCTCCCCAGCACTCACACCCTACGGTCACCCAATGTGGGAAAAGTTCAGCAGGCTATCTGAGGCCCCACCTGTGCTGGAGTTGAACAAACAGCAAACCAGGCTCTCTGGCCCAGAGCTCTCTAATGGCGAAGGCAGGCGGTGCTGGGAGGAAGGTGGGGAGAGCAGGCGAGGCCATCCCCGCCCACCACAGGCTCATGTCCTCCAATGCCCAAGCCCCTTTAACCCAGCGCTGGCGGGACCAGGTCCTCTCCAAAAGCCTGGATGGGCTCTGTGAACCCCCTTCACAGTCTCCGACCTCATTCCTAACCTAATTTGCTCTTTTGGCTGAAATATTAGAGAAGGCAAGTCCTGCCCAAAGAGCTGACCCAGCCTCAGTCTTGCGTTGGCCCAGAACAGCTTTGTTGCCGCTGCATCCCAGTGATCCAGCCCCCTTCCGGCCCCTCCCGTGGGAACCTGACACGGCCGCACAGGCTGCTCCACCTGCGCTGAGAGCAAACACCGACGACGTCAGGGTGTCAGGTGAGGGTGGGAGCTGCTTGGAGACCCAGGAGAAAGCCAGCCTCCTTCTCCCTCTTATGCTTGTGCAGAGCTGATTACAGCCTTAACCCACCATCATCCCATCCTCTATCCTTCCTCCTCCCCCCACCCCACCCCCCGCCCCCATTATCTTAGTCTCACCACTATGTCCGCCGCCCTCAGCACACAACTTAAGACTCTTCCTCTGGGCAGCCCTCTCCCTGCCAGGCTTCCCCGAGTCCCACGCTGCCTCTCCCGCCCCGTCTTTGTCCGATGCTGAGGGTTTCCTGGGAGCTTAGGTGGAAGCCCGTGTGCCGGGCCGCGGTAGGCAGTGTGGAACGCGGGGTGCGGGGGCAGGTGCAGGGGCTCCCCCAGCCCGGCAGCGAAGAGCTGCAAGGAGCCAGCGGCAGTGCCCCGGCCACTGCGGCAGCTCCGCGTGGGCTGGGCATCTGCGCCCAACCCGTGACCCCTACGGCCCCCGACCACCAGGGGAAAATGCTAAACCTCCCTGGAGCCGTACCCCACCCTTCCTCACCCCTCTTAACCTCCCTCCCCCGCAGCCTCCCTCCTCAAAATTGCTCCATCCACCCATCCAACCCCACCCCACCCTACACACACACACACACACACACACACACACACACACACACACACACACACGGGAGCCGGGACCCATGGTGCAGGGGTGCGGGGAGGGGGGTGGAGGAAGGGAAACCTCTGCAGAGAGATCTAGGGAGGGGGCGAGGGGCGAGGGGGCGAGGCTGAAGGACAGTCCCGCAGGGGGAGTCCTGAGCGGGGAGGGGGCGGAGATCACCTGCAGGACCGAGCCTTGGGGACCGGCACCACCGATGCCAGGAGCTGAGGGCAGGGGCCAAGTGGGGGCGGGACGCGGCGGGCGGGGAGGGGCGGGGAGGGGCGGGGAGGGGCGGGCGCCTCCGCGGGCTCAGCGGGAGCAGGTGGAGCCGCCGCGGGAGCCCGCCCGGCCCTGCCGAGGGAGGCGGCGGCTGGGCCAGGGCCATGGAGCTGCTGAGGCTGAACCGGAGCATGCCAGCAGCAGCACCGGGAGCTGGGCCAGGGGCTGCCCTCTGCCGCCCCGGGGTCCCCCTCCTCAACAGCAGCGACACCGGCAACCTCAGCTGCCAGCCGCCTGCCGCCCGAGGAAACGGGACACGAGGTAGGTGCCTCCTCAAGCTCCCTCCAAAAGCTCCTCCACCCCACACATGAGGAGAGGGACCCCACTGCCCCCGTCCTGCCTCCTCCAACGCTCACACCATCCTCTCAGGGCGCACGGCCCCCCTGACACATTTGTCCCCGGCGGCTCAGGACATCCCATCCCAGCATCGCACTACCTGGCCAGAGTCCCTTCACACCCTCGTCCCACCCCGAGCTTCGGGTAAACCCAAAACACAGCACCCTCCGCGACACCCAGCCCACGGAGTGCTAGACACGGAGACTGGGGAAGCAAGGACTTCTTGCTGCCGTTCCTTCCAGGTCTCTCTCTCCCCTTTACATCCAACTCACAGAGCCACATGGGCAAGGAAAGAAGGGAAGATTGGGGGGAAGAAGGGGGTTGTTTGGAGGAAGGAGCACTCTGGAAGACCTGAGTGGGAAGTTAGTCATAATCTGTGTCTCCCTCCCCAACCCCCAAGCTTCCCCCAAAGAGATCCTCCAACTTGAATTGAGCTGTAAGTTAGGCTGGATGCTGCTCCCGAGAGCTGCCTGATTCCATTTCCCTCATCCTCAAATCCCTTCCATGCATCCTCTCCAACTTGCCTCTCCTTAGGTTGCAAACTCTCCCCACCCACCCACCCCCTGCCACCTCCCACAGCTGGGCTACCCCCTTTATCACCCCATGCCTTTGTGCCACCCCATCTCATCGCCCCCCCCACCACCACCTTTCAGATGATATCCATTCACCTATTCCCCAAAATAATTTTCATTCTTCCCATGAGTCAATATTCTATTTTTATTTTTTTATGGCCTGGATCAAGTTGTTTTTTTGGTTTTTGTTTTTTGTTGTTTTTTTGTTTTGTTTTGTTTTGTTTCCTCTTCCTGGGCCTTTTCTTTTCTTAAATGCTTACTGTGCACCTACTATTGTAGTCTCTGGGCTAGGAGCTGGGGACACAGGGATGAACTAGACCTTGCTTGGACCCTCATCCCTCAGAGGGGAAGAAGGGGGCTGTTTGAAGGAAGGAGAACTCTGCAAGACCTGAGTGGGAAGTTAGTCATAATCTGTGTCCCACTCCCCAACCCCAACCTTCCCCCAAAGAGATCCTCCAACTTGAATTGAGCTGTAAGTTAGGCTGGATGCTGGTCCCTAGAGCTGCCTGTCTCCATTTTCCTCATCCTCAAATCCCTGGAAAACCATTGGGAAAATCACATTAAGCATGGGAAGTCCCACAAGAGGGTCTGAAATATCAGCGTCCAAAGGAAACAGGGTCCACGAATTTCATAGAAGGAACCTGGAGATGGGTCTTGAAGTTGGAGTTTGTTAGGGGGGACGAAGAAGAAGAAGAAGAAGAAGAAGAAGAAGAAGAAGAAGAAGAAGAAGAAGAAGAAGAAGAAGAAGAAGAAGAAGAAGAGGGATTTTAATAGAGGAAGCAGTGGTAAACAGAAGGAAATTATTCTAAGCCCAAAAAGGGAATGTGGGAATAAATTATAATTCAAGGGTGTTTTTTTTGTTTTGTTTTGTTTTGTTTTTAACTGACAACTTAGGACATGCTTTCTAGGACAATTGTTACACATTCTCACTTAGGTTCTTTCATTCAACAAATATTTATTGAACGAGAGATTGTGCTAGGCACCAAAACTGACAGGGTTCCTATCTCATGGAGCTCACAGTTTAGTGGGAGAGACAGTCAGGTAAGCAGGGGATTGCAGCACAAAGTGGGAGGGGCCTGGGGAGGCTTTGGGGAACACAGAAGAGGAGCCCCTCTAGCCTAGCCTAGACTTGGGAATCAAAGTTGGCCTCCTGAGAAGGTAAAGTATGAACTGAATGAAAATAAAAAAGATGAGGGACAGCCAGCCAAGTGAACAGAGAAAAAAAGGCAAAAAGCATCCCTCGTAAAAGCCCCAAGTTTAAGTCCATGGCACTTTTGTTCAGTGCACCCTAGTTTCTGGGCGCCCAAACCATACACCATAAAAGAGGAACAATTAGCACTCAAAATGAAGACCAAGCTAAAGGGTTTACGGAGAGCCTTATAGACCTGGCTAAGGAGTGTCAATTCTATCTTAAGGCATTAGGAACTGTTGGGAATTTCGGTAGTTCTGCCAAGATTTATTCTGTAGTGTGAAGGATGACTTGCAAGACAATACATGCATAGAAGGCAGGGGGTGGGAATGGTGGATACCTATATAGAAGACTATTATATTGCACTGGTCCTGGTGAAAGGTGATATTGGTCTAGAGTAAGGTACTGATGTGGGGGGGATGAAGAGTAGATGGATTTGAGAGGCATTTCTGGAAGTGGAATCAACGAAATTTGGTGATTTGTGTGAAACAGAGAGGGAGGAAGAGGTCAAGGGATGACATCCAGGTTTCTGGCTTAGATAATTGGATGGATATTGGTACTTTATAATGAGAAGGATTACACAGGAACAGAATCGGGTTTAAAAGAGAGTATAAGTTAATTCAATTTGGAGCCAGTTAAGCATAAATGCTGGCAAGATACCCACGTGGGATTGTACAATCAACCATTGAATCCAAGGGTCTGGAAGCTGGGGGAGAGGTCTGAGCTGGAAATACAAATTTCAAAGGTCTTTGCTAGAGAAAGTAATGGAAGCCGTTTGAATAGATAAAATTTGTGTAGAATGAATGAATAAATGAATGAATGAATGAATAAATAAATAAATAAATAAATAAATAAATAAATAAATAAAATAGAGGTACTGGGCCCAGCTGGCATGGCTTGGTGGTTAAGCATCGACCTATGGATCTGGCAGTCATGGTTCAATTCCAGGTCAGGGCATATGCCCAGGTTGAGGGCTTGATCCCCAATGTGGAGCATGCAGGAGGCAGCCAATCAATGGTTCCCTCTCATCATTGATGTTTCTGTCTCTCTCTCCCTCTCCCACCCTCTCTGAAATATACATATGAAGAGGTACTGGGACAAGATCCTGAAGAAGATCAATATTTAAAAGCCAGGCAAAGAAAGGAAAGTTCATGTGAGATGGAGGTGCAGAAGACAGCAGAGATAGTGAATAGAGCAAGGAAGCCTTAGAATCTAGCAGAATATAAAGCAATTCAGAGCACATATGCAGGAATTGGCCTCATTTATCTGGACGTTGTTACCCACACAGTTGGATGTTACACAGGCCATCAGAAGTTACCCACAAAAACTCTATTAGCCACACTCACTCAGATATTACCCCCACAGGTGCATGTTACTCATAACCAGTAGAAATTTGGATATTACCCACACTATTCAGATGTAAGCCACACAGACTTGGGTGATATCCATGTTCATTCAGATACTACCAACAGAAAAGCAGATAGCATCCACACTCACATTAATATTGCCGCCTGCATCATTAAACACAAATGAATGAGTACTAGCTAATTTTATTTTATTATTGTCCACAGACAATTAGATATTACTGATGCTCACTTAAGTAACCCTTCTCCAGATATTGCTCTCACACATTCAGATATTACCCATAAGACTCAGATCCGATTAACTCAATCAGATTAACATCGCACTCAACATTTTAACATCTCACATTTATACTCACTTAAGTATTGTCCACTTGAATATTACTTCAGTCTCCAAAGAGACAGAGACAGAGAGATGAGGGCATGCTAGAGCTTTAGAGGCACCGAGGTGAAGGTTGGATGAGGAAGGACAAAACAGGTGCATTTGTGAGCAAAGTGACAGAGATTCATTCCAGATTCACTAACAAGCATGTGTTGACACTTCTTTGTGAGGGACATTTTGCCAAGTGCTAAGGATATGCTGGAGAACAAGATGGGCATTGCTCCTGATCTCCAGAAGCTCATAGCCTAGTGGGAGAGACAGAGGATTACACATCTCCATGATACAGTGAGAAATGCTGTGACAGAGAACAGAGAAAGAAACACAGATTGAGGTTTTATTGGGAGAAGGAGACTACATGATGAATGGCACAGGAGTGAGAGAGCAGTAGGAGGCAAAGCATTTTAGAGATCTGGAGACTTGGCTTCTATTCTGATTCTGCCCCCTACTTACCGTATGCTCTGAGCAAGTAATGTCACTGTGGGCTTAGTTCAGAGAGCTCTTGTAATTAGCATTTAATTGACATCTACAACAGTTTCTGAATAAGTGGGTATGTGTGATGAGAAAACAGCTTAATTTGGAGGCTAAGCAAAGTCAGCCAAGGAAGAGAGAGTTGCAGCTCTGAGTCCTTTTCTCCCTCCCCTCTTCCCCCTGCCCTCTGTCCTCTTTCCTTTTAAGCTCTAGTCTCCCTGAAACTCAAGTCATGGGTGTGGGTGACCAGGACAATTTCATTTAATTCAATTCAATTTTGCCTGGGTCTGCAGTTGTGATATAGAGACCCAAAGATGAGTCCATCTCCCAATAGTCAATGATTCAAATGTATGGAGTCAGCCCTCTGTCTAGCCCAGAACTCTAGTGTCCCTGCTGTGAGTTCCTGCAGCACTTTTTGTGTTCCTCAACCTCCACTCCTCATCACACTGTGTGGCAATTATCTGTGTATATATCTGGGTGTTCCTTCCTCTTGCATGTCCATCTGTGTCCAATGCCTTGCATGCAGATGTTTATTGAGGGAGAATGAATGTTTGGAGATCATTAAAATACAAGGCAAAAAGAAAAAGAAAAAAAAAGGTCCTAATAGATCTGTAAGGAACATGCATAGTGAGAGGAAGGGGAAATTAACTCTAAAGGAGATAGATGTCCAGAAAAGCCTTACAGGAAAGTGGGCACTAGATCTCAGTCTTCAGGGCATAGGTAAATAGGAATTTACCAGATACAGAAAACATGTGTGAGGGAGGTGGGGGTTTGTGAAAGAACTTTCCAGACTGAGAAACCAACATAAGCAAGGGAGGGAGTCATAAGTGCATATGATGCCTTCAAGAAACTGAGTCATCCAGTAGCTTACGTGGGTGCACGGCAGAGAGGGGGTGGGAAGAGAATGAAGGCAGTTCTCAGAGAACCTGCACTTGCTAAAGGTTGCAGACAGTAGAGAGTAGGGGAAGGTGTTTTTTGGGTTATTTTTAAGACAATAGGACCTCGCCTGACCTGTCAAATACTACATGGATGTCAAGTAGTATAGGCTTAGAAGAGACCTTTGGATTTAGCAGCTAAAGCTTAGTGACCTTGGGAAGAATTGTCCAAAACAGTGATGGCAGGACAGATAGGGCACTGGATTGTAACGGACTGAGAAATGAACAGGAAGGTGAATGTAATCCTTTCAAGAAGTTTGGCTGCAAAACGATTTGGAGTAAAGCTTAAGAAAAGATAGGCTTTCTTAAGAAAAAGTAGAGTTAAACCAATTTAAGCCTTGAGGGGTTAGAAGGGTAAAGGATTCGAGTCCATCATTTGCTGAGTTGGGGTGCTCTTGGGCAGCAGGGGATCTGGCTGGATAGTGGGGATTGGGATGAGTGGGATTGGAGCTGGGGACAAAGACTCCTTATTGTCACCTCTCTCTTTTCCTGCCCAGAACTGGAGCTCGCCATTAGGGTCACCCTCTATGCAGTGATCTTTCTGATGAGCGTTGGAGGAAATGTGCTCATCATTGTGGTCCTGGGACTGAGCCGCCGCTTGAGGACCGTCACCAACACCTTCCTGCTCTCCCTGGCGGTCAGCGACCTCCTCCTGGCTGTGGCCTGCATGCCCTTCACCCTCCTGCCCAATCTCATGGGCACATTCATCTTCGGCACAGTCGTCTGCAAGGCGGTGGCTTACCTCATGGGTAGGTGAGACAACCACCCTGCCCACCTTGCCCTCTCCTCTTCTACAGTTCTTGCCCCATGTTTGCATGTTTCCCTGAGACGTTTGAAGTCACACTGGTGATTGTGTAGTTCAGGTTTCCTAGGTGACCCCTTCCTTCCTTCCTTGCTTAGGCGTGTCAGTAAGTGTGTCCACGTTAAGCCTGGTGGCCATCGCCTTGGAGAGGTACAGCGCCATCTGCCGACCGCTGCAGGCTCGCGTGTGGCAGACACGCTCCCACGCTGCTCGTGTGATCGTAGCCACGTGGATGCTGGCGGGGCTGCTCATGGTGCCCTACCCCATATACACCGTCGTGCAGCCGGTGGGGCCCCGAGTACTGCAGTGCGTGCATCGCTGGCCCAGTGCGAGGGTTCGCCAAACCTGGTGAGGGGGCCTAACCCTGGGGATCCCTTCTCCATCTCCACCAGATGCTTAGTACCATCCCCCGGAACCTTCCCCAGGAGCTGCTCCAAGAATTACTACTCCGATTCCCTTTGGGCACCCACCACCCTGGGATTCCCATTTGGGGCCTCTCCGCAGTTCTCTAGGCCTTCCCAGCAGCACCCCCAAAGCCTAGAAACATCGGTCCTCGGCTCATTCTGCATCCGCGGTTATGGCTGGACAGAGACCCGTGTGACTGGTCTGTGCTCTGCTTCCAGGTCGGTACTGCTGCTCCTGCTTTTGTTCTTCATCCCGGGTGTGGTTATGGCCGTGGCCTATGGGCTTATTTCCCGCGAACTCTACTTAGGGCTTCGCTTTGATGGCGACAATGACAATGAGAGCCAGAGCCATGCCCGAAGCCCAGGAGGGTTGCCGGCTGGGGCGGGACCAGGTGAGTGAAACCCGAGGTGAAATCCATAAGGGGGCCAGGCTTTGGAAAGTGAAGAAGGGGTGAGGGGTGTCTATGGAAAGGCTGGAAATGTGGGGTCAGATAGGGGTTGTTCTGGAGTTGAGAGGACTTGCTTTCTGCTCTGATCGCCTGCTGTGGAGTCGAGACAAGAGAATGATCACTGGAGCCCAGACCAAATTAAAATTTAGGGAGCCTTTATTAGCCGGCCTGGTAAGTGACTAGCCGGGCGACTGCTCTGCATTCTCCACACAGAGAGTCCGGATAGCAGCAGTGACCCTTTGTGCAGGACCACTTTTAAGCACATTAACCACACCCTGTTCTTGCAGAGCAAGCAACCCAAGACAAAACAATTTTTCCCAAGCAACGTCAGGATCATGTCATCGACGATCGTGTTATTCACAGGGTTATCCTGTTCTTCAAAAAGCTGACCATGTTCTATGAAACAAGGCCCACATGCTGGGAAGGGGCCATGAGGCCCTATCTCAAGGCCTGCCCTGGTGTCAGCACTGACTCTATCTGGGGCATGGTCCATGGCCACTCTGGAAGCATGCTCAAAAATTCCCACTCTCTAGACAGTTAAGCAACAAACAGGCTGTCAAATTACAGTGGGGAGGATAGGGAGATATGGGGGAGATAAGAGATCCACCAAAGGACTTGTATGCATGCATATAAGCAAAACCAATGGATGAAAAACTCGGGGGGGGGGGGGCGCAGAGGAGCATGTATGAGAGTGGGGAGGGGGGCAATCGAAAGATATGTACACATATAATACCTTAATAAAATAAATTTAAAAATAAAAATAAATAGCCGAAACCGGTTTGGCTCAGTGGATAGAGCGTCGGCCTGAAGGCTGAAAGGTCCCAGGGTTTGATTCCGGTCAAGGGCATGTACCTTGGTTGCGGGCACATCTCCAGTAGAGGGTGTGCAAGAGGCAGCTGATTGATGTTTCTCTCTCATCAATGTTTCTAACTCTCTATCCCTCTCTCTTCCTCTCTGTGAAAAATCAATAAAATATTTTAAAATAATAATAATAATAAAAATAAATAAAAATAAAAAAATTCCCACTCTCTAACAGCGCCCACTGTCTGTGTCTAGGTGCTGCCCTACAGAACGGGCGCTGCCGGCTGGAGACCCGGCTGGCGGGCGAGGACGGCGACGGCTGCTACGTGCAGCTCCCGCGCTCCCGGCCTGCGATGGAGCTGTCCGCGCTGACGGCGCCCACTCCTCCCGGGCCAGCGTCCTGCCACCGGCCCACCCAGGCCAAACTGCTGGCCAAGAAGCGCGTGGTGCGGATGCTGCTGGTGATCGTCGTGCTTTTCTTCCTGTGCTGGCTGCCCGTGTACAGCGCCAACACGTGGAAGGCCTTCGATGGCCCCGGGGCGCGCCGGGCCCTGTCGGGCGCGCCCATCTCCTTCATCCACCTGCTGAGCTACGTCTCGGCCTGTGTCAACCCCCTGGTCTACTGCTTCATGCACCGCCGCTTCCGCCAGGCCTGCCTCGACACGTGTGCCCGGTGCTGCCCGCGGCCTCCGCGAGCTCGCCCCAGGCCTCTCCCGGACGAGGACCCTCCCACACCCTCCATCGTGTCCCTGTCCAGGCTGAGCTACACAACTGTCAGCACGCTGGGGCCTGGCTGAGGGGTGGGGGCCGAGTGGGGGGGCTAAGGCAAGACAGGCCGATTTTTTCGAGCATTGACCCATTCAGACACACAGGAGACACAGACCACCTCTCACAGAAGACCGACAGCCAACCGCATGGACTTACCCCCAATGCACAGGGAAGGGTGGCTTATGGACGCAAAGTAAACAGAGCAGACCCACACACAGGAAACGAGGCACACATGGCTGTGGCATGGAAACACGGCCCTGATCTTGGACAGACTCAGACGCAGCATCCCTAGCGGTGGACTATCCCCCAACAACAGGACCTCTATGACAGGGAAGGCCTCTCTCTCTCTCTCTCACACACACACTCACACACACACACACACACACACACACACACACACACACAGCGTAACAGCACTGATTCATTTAGAGATCTGGGCTGACTCCTGAGATGCCCCAGGCTGCGTCCAGCTCGACCTCGCAGTGCCCTGCCCCAAGCAGCATTGGGTACACCAACCCCCTCTCACAGCTCCCTGACTAACAGGCTGTTTTGCACTGAGAAGTCCCTTTGTTCTTTTCCAATTAAATATTATGTCCCTGCCCTCGCTTCCCGCAGCCGACCTCGTCAATACATAATAAACGCCTTGGCTTCCTCCTAAACTTCCTTTCTGGACTCTTCTGGGGCCGGTGAGGAGGCATGGGGTTTTGTGATTTTCCCTGTCAGGTCACCCACAGCTGGACCCGCCCCCTGCCAAAAAGCCTGTGGTCTGAGGCTGGAGGAGACTGTGTGTTGTCTCTGAGTTATCATCCTGGACCCACCCACACACCCATGTCATAGGTGGAAGCTGGAAATGGGGGTGAAGGCGGGAGGTAGGATATCCATGACACATCATGAGTCCTAAAGTGGCATCACTGTTAAGGTACTATAATATCATAATAAATGCTTATTAAACATTTAGTGAAAAGATAAAGGAAGAAGCACTGTATAATGAGACTCAGTTTATTCAATACGTGTCTGAAACACCAGGGGTCAGACCATGACAGGTGAACAGAAACTGATTAAAGAGTAGAGCCTTGTCCACATGCTCTTCTCTGGCAGCAGTACCTGGCCACGCTTCTGCTCCACAGCAGCACCCTTTCCTGTCAGCAGCAATGAACGGGGGTGGAGAGGGCTGGCCCTGAATAGAAGCCCAAAGCCCAGCCTCCCTTTTTTTTTTTTTTTAAATATATTTTATTGATTTTATACAGAGAGGAAGGGAGAGGGATAGAGAGTTTAGAAACATCGATGAGAGAGAGTCATCGATCAGCTGCATCTTGCACACCCCCCAGGTACATGCCCTTGACCGGAATCGAACCCTGGACCTTTCAGTCCCCAAGCCGACGCTCTATCCGTTGAGCCAAACCGGTTTCAGCCCAGCCTGCCTTTTGACACAAGCCATCCAGCCCTGGCCAGTGTGGCTCAGTTGGTTGGGCATCCTCCAAGGTTCCTTGTTTGATTCCCTGTCAGGGCACATGCCCAGGTTTGGGGCTTCATCCCCAGCAGGAGATGTGCAAGACACAGCCAATCAATGTTTCCCTCTCACATTGATATTTCTCTCTCTCTCCCTATCCCTTCCTTTCTCTCTAAAAATCAATGAAAATATTTTTTTAAACTGATACAGTCCCAGAGAGACAGAGACAGCAACATCACCCCCTACACACACACACAGAATGACAAAACAGAGAGGGAAGAACTGAAGAGCTCATTAAGGAGACACACACGGATAATCACATATGGTGTGGTATGTTGGGAGAGGGCTTCCTTGACATTTCATCTTATAACAGATGGGCGAACTGAGACCCAGAGAAGAAAGGAAAATTGCTCAAGGTCATACGATACATAGGAGCAAGACAGAAATAACCCTCTTGAAGCAGACACTGAGCTGGAGATGGGAAAGAAGCCATCCCCATCAGGGAGCAGACCCAAGTCCTGTGATGCCTGGTACTTATAAAATTGGGAGCCCCTTTTTCAAGAAAAAGAATACAAAAAAATACAGATACAAAATTGCTCCTCACCAGGGAGGGGCCTGTGTGGGTGAGGAGTCCTGAGATTTAAGCCTCATTAGCTTCACAGCTAATAATGCCTCTGCCCACCAACTGCACTGAACAAAGGCTGGGTGGAGCGAGGGACAGTGAGAAAGGAAAGTAGGTTTTCTGTTTAGCAGTGCTGAGGAGGCTCCCAGCCATCCTTTTTTACAAGCTCTAGGCCGCAAGAGGCAGGACTAAGGAGAAACGGAGGGAGAAGGCGTTTCAAGCTGTCAAACTCAGTGCTAGTTAAAAATAGAATCCCAGCTGGTCTGAGGAGCTGAAGGCAAGATATTGGGCCTTTATCTCTCATGCCAATTTCTCCTGGATGGGGGTGGAGAAAGACACAGGGTTTGCCATAGGAGTCACAGCCCTCATACCCTCCCACCTCCATCTTTGCCATCCCTTCTGAAAGAAATGCAGCCTTGATGAGGGTCAACCCCTTCAGCTGGGGCCAGGGCTCCTGTTGACAGCAGTGGGGAGCCCAAGAGGAAAGGCTGTGGAAAGGGCTGGCCTAGAACCCAGCACACTATACAGCCCTGTAGTCTACTGATTACTTATGTATTCACTCTGTGCTCTCTCTAGTTGCTAAAGTGGAATCCCGGGAGCCTTCCCATCTTTTGAAATGTGACAAAATATTCCAGGTCAGGACTTAATATCGATGCCTCCATAAAGTTCTGCTTGGCCTTCCTAATAACAAAGCTCATGTGCTCATACAGTTCTGACTACCTTCTCTCTTCTATCGAAGTTATTCGTGTCTCTGCCTGATTTCCCATTGTGGAGTGGGAGAAGCCTGAAGTCACAGGAAGATGACTGAGCCTAGATCTAGATAGTGAGGTGAAGGAAGGCTTGGGGATGAAATATGCTTCTGAGGGCTATATGACAGGTGTCTTGTACACACAGTTTATCTTATTCTCAGAGCTCTTCAGAAGAACATTTCTCTTCATTTGACAGAAAAGGAATGTGAAACTGAGAAATTTAGGTCCTGCCGAAACCAGTTTGGCTGAGTGGATAGAGCATCAGTCTGCGGACTGAGGGGTCCCGGGTTTGATTACAGTCAAGGGCATGTACATTGATTGCAGGCACATCCCCAGTGGTGGGGAGGGGGGGAGGATGAAGGAGGCAGCTGGTCGATGTTTCTCTCTCATTGATGTTTATAGCTCTCTCTATCTCTCTCTCTTCCTCTTTGTAAAAAAATCAATAAAATATATTTTTTAAAAGAAAAAAAGAAAGAAATTTAGGTCCTGCAGCTAGGATGGAAGCAAGAACTAAGCCCGGGTATCTGCCTCCAAAGCTTTTTCTCTTTCCTTTCCATTCTGCTGTATTGCCTTCCTTCAAGCCTGGAAGACCTGGGCAGGTTCCAGTAGTCCTGTCTTTTTAAAAGTTGTGTGATTAAACAAGAGAGAGGTCGCAAATAAATAAACTCCGAAATGAAAGTGGAGGATTAACCACTGACACCACAGAAATACAAAGGATTGTAAGAAAATACTATGAGCAACTATATGTCAACAAGCTGGACAATGTGGATAAAATAGACAAATTCCTAGAAAAATACAATCTCCCAAAACTGAATCAGGAAGAATAAAAAAAATCTGAATATGCAAACAACAACTGATGAAATAGAAGCAGCAATAATAAAACAAAAACAACAACAAAAAACTCCCACAAAACAAAAGCTCAGGTCCTAATGGCTTCACGGGGGAAGTTTTACCAAACATTCAAAGAATGCCTAAACCAGTTTAGCTCAGTGGATAGAGCGTTTGGCCTGTGGATTGAAAGGTCCCAGGTTTGATGCTGGTCAAGAGCATGTACCTTGGTTGAGGGCACATCCCCAGTAGGGGGTGTGCAAGAGGCAGTTGATAGATGATTCTCTCTCATCAATGTTTCTAACTCTCTATCCCTCTCTCCTTCTCTCTGTAAAAAAAATCAACAAAGAAGAACTAACACTATATTTCTCAAACTATTTCAGAAAATCCAAGAGGAAGTTACACTTCTAAATTCTTTTTATAATGCCAGCATTATCCTAATTCCAAAACCAGATAAAGACACTACAAAGAAAGAGAACTATATGCCAATATCCCTGATGAACATAGATGCTAAAATCCTTAACAAAATATTAGCAAATCACATCCAGCAATATATTAAAAAGATCACACACCATGATCAAGTGGGATTTATTCCAGGGACACATGGCTGGTACAATAGTCACAAATCAATAAATGTCATACATCACATAAACAAATTGAAAGACAAAAATCACATGAACATATCAATACATGCAGAAAAGCATTTGACAAATTTCAACACCCATTTTTGATTTTAAAAAAAAAAAAACTCTGCAAAGTGGGACTAGAGGGAGCACACATCTCAACATGATAAAGGCCATATATGACAAACTTATAGCCAACATCATACTTAATGGGCAAAAACTAAAACCATTTCCCCTAAGAATGGGAGCAAGAGAGGGATGTCACTTTCACCACTCCTGCTCGACATAATACTATCTATAAGTGCTAGCCATAACAATCAGACAAGAAGAAATAAAAGGCATCCAAATTGGTATTCACTCTTGTCCTGTCCCTGGCATAGAGCTCCTAACTCCTTGGAATTTTCTGTGTGAAGAGCCACAAAAGTGTCTTTTATTTGTTAATGACATTTCCTTTGGAAAGCCTTTAGGTCACCTAAGAATGGCAACTAGTCAGTAAGGAAACCAACCAGTGATTAGTGGATTAGAATTTCCAATATCTCTCTTGGGGGGGCAGAGGGGGAGGAGAGAAACTGGAGATGGGAGTTCAAGCACTATGACAAATGATTTAACCAAGCATTCCTATGTAATGAAGCTTCCCTAAAAATCCAAAATCCAAAAGGACAGAGTTGGAGAGCTTCCTGGTAGATGAACACACGCAGATTTGGGGAAGAGGGCATAGAAGTTCCCTACCCCTTTCACCATACTTTGCACTATGTAA